TGATGTCCAAGTTAATACATCCCATGTGGCAGTGATCTAATTGCCTTATCTTTCAGGGGAGTCACTGCACAGCTATAGGATCTGCATACAGGCTATATTACTGGACAAACCTAAAGTTGCTACAGCAAACTTGAGCAAGGTAAGTTGACGGGGGGGGGGGGTCTACTCTTCTAAAAAGAAGTTGTGAGTAACATATTCAAGATCATCTCTGTAAAACTGAATATTGGGAGACTAATTGCATTGTGGTCCATGGAATGCCAAATGGATTGACCGTTTTATGTCTGAGGATGCCATGTTGGATGAGACCAGTTAGCAAGGAGCCCTGTGAGGCAGAATGCTTTGCATGTTTTCTTGCTACAAAGGTTGCATTAAACTGTCTTTGCCTTTTCTGTTACAGTATCTTGAGCTGTTGAGATCCCACCAGAATCGACCAGCCAAATGTCTGACCATTATGTGGGCCTTGGGGCAAGCTGGTTTTGCTGACCTTACAGAAGGGCTTAAAGGTGAGAACAACAGGATTTTTATGTTCATCGAGAACGTTTGCTTTTTAATGCCCTGTAATTTATGGCAGCCTTTAAAGTTTTAATATTTTTCATATGCCATTATTTTACCACTTACATTTTTATATTATGAAAATCCTGCTTGCCTATGCATTCTTAAAAATACCTAATGTCAACCGAAATAATAAAAAGCAAAACTGACCATTCAAAGAGAGTCTGGGAATGAAACTTGAAGAATTTTGCTTAATTTAGAGTAAAGAAAAAAAGATTTTCAAACTAGCTAAATTTGTTTTGTAAGTAACATCCAAAGAGCAGTATCTGATAAGGAATCTAATAAATAGCTGAATTGATATTTCTCCAAAGAAGTATTCTTCATATTCATAAACATCTTCCCACACATTGAGTGGGACAATCCTATTAAAGTTTATCATATGTTAGAATAAATGTGGGAAAGTTTTGAGTGTGCCCTAACTTTGGCTGGCTGTGCTAACTCCTTCAAAAATAGGTACTTCAAGTGCCTACACTGAAATAGCGCTATGCTCCACTTTCAGCTTTCACAGTGAAAAAACAGGAAAAAAGTGGATACCTCAATAACAGCTGTTTAAAGGCAGGTCAAGCAGCTTAAATCTGTGTAACTTTTAGAATTATACTTGCCTATGTTCTTAGGGGAGCCTTACGCCCAGCAGGAGAAGTGGGAAGAGCAAAGTTGTTCCCGGCAAGTGATAAGACCCTGAGAGTGGAAGTTCGTTCTCTGAGCTTGTAGGTTGGTTTCCGGACATTTCTTTACCAGGCTAGGTAACATCTTCAGTGGAATTTAGAGAATATCAGTGTTGGTGATAAGACCCTCTTATGTTCAGCCTCTTTCTTTGGCAAGTAACCTGCCGAATGTGGGTTAAGCAGCTGTATTTGGAAACAGATATTAGCTTATGCCTGGGAGGGAAATTGCTTAGGCACATCCCACTGTTTTTCAGTGGACAGTGCTGAGCTCCCTCATGGAGGAATGGAAAGTTATGAGTGCAGCATGTCTCCCCCCCTATAAAGTACTGTTATGTCCTTTCTCTTCCTAGTGTGGCTTGGCATTATGCTTCCGGTTCTGGGCATCAAATCTCTCTCTCCATATGCCATCAGTTACTTGGATCGGCTGCTGATGTGAGTTGATGTACAATGGGGAGTGCTGTTATTGGAAACATTTGTGCATGTTGACTTTGCTATCAGGTTTATTAATCCTTCCGTTTACCATCGGTACACTAAAGGGGTAGACTATAATTCATAAATCAGTTTTACTTTCCAAGAGGTTTCACTAGCAGCAAAATAACTGAAGAACTGTTAGTCCATGTTTCTTTTCCTTTTTTTAATTTCAAATACAGATTTAAAATAGTGTGTGTTTGAGCTTTTATCAGTTCCAGTCAACTTGTTTCTTTTTCCGCCATGTTTTGTCTGTATTGTCATAGCTTAAATGGTTGTCATCTCTTGCTCTAGGGAGCTAGAGCTGTACTAGGAGGGCTGGGACAGATTTCATAGATAGAAGTGAATCTTGGTGATGCAGTAGGAGGGGAGACCAGAATACTAAAAGCTAGGATAATTCATCTACAGCTTACTAAAGCCTTTCTGCATATATGTTGTTGGGAATAATTCTGACCATGAGAGAATTTAGATGTGGAAGAAGTAATGAGATTTACTTGATGCTGTGATAGCCAGGAATCTGAGGACAGACTAACTATGCTTTCTCTTTGACAGGATGCATCCTAATTTGTCAAAAGGGTTTGGGATAATAGGGCCCAAGGACTTCTTCCCTCTTTTGGATTTTGCATTCATGCCCAACAACTCCTTATCCTCCAGGTATGTCAGCTAAAAGGAGAATCATATGCAATCAATCCACCTCTCCTGTCTCAGAAAATATTGCTGTGGGAATGCCTCATCTATAGATGGAGGAACTTTGCGATACCAGTGGGGCAGAAAAAAAATTGATACTGGGGCAGATAATTACTGGGTCAGGACAACATTTATCTTATACAGGAGCAGGCATGTATTGCAACAACCAGCCAGATATGTTATATTATTTATTTAATTAAAGTTTTTCTCTTGGTAAATAAAAAGCCAAAGGAGATGGTAAATGTAACAATCTGGCTGGTTGTTGCAATACATGCCGGTAGAAGTCCAAGCAAAAAGGACAGTATTTGCACAAATGCAACAATAATTAGTAATTAATAAAAGTAACAAAAAGTAAAAAGAACACAAGCCCATTATTTTCTGCAGCCATGTGTATCTGTTTTTCTCCCTTTTTGATAGTTTTTCCATAGCAAGATGAATTATCCCCACTTCAGTTTTTGACATACAGAAATTTTACGTAATATTCTTCAGGGTTTTTTTTAAATTGCAAAATATATTACAAGCAGGTGCCAAATAACTTACAATATATTACTGGTGATTTTATAATCCACCAATCCAGTACTTTTAACAGTCATTTGTTTCTTCTTGCATTATTCCTACATGAACTTAAAAAATTGGGGTGCAAAAGGAAGCAACCGTCACTCAATTTGTTCTTTAGCACCTGCCCATTTTCTTCTCTCTTTATCCTCCCCTTGTTTCTCTTGCACCGGTTTGTTGACAGGTATTTCTATGGCTTAGACATTGGAGCACAGTGCCACAGCACTTGCTCTTAAACACCATTTCTGTAGCCTTAAAAGAGTATTTCTGGAATTCCCCAGCTAACATGGCGGCTGACTAAGGGAATACTGGGAGTTGAAGTCCACTCCTGTTAAAGTTGCCAAGTTTGAGAAACACTCCCTTAGAACATTGGAGGCCATGGCAATTTTCCAACATTCCTTCATGTGAGAGAATGATTGTAGTATTGTTGAGCACAAAATACCTTTTGGCAGGGCTGATGAACGAGAGAAGGTGCAACAAATGAAGAGTCATTATAACATCCTTAAGCCCCTGTTATCTGGTTTTTCTTCCTGGTATCCTTGGAAGATGTTTGTAGCAGAAATGCACCTTTTTCATTTTGGGACATGGTTAGACTGATATAATTTGGTTTTTTATTCAGTCTGCAGGAGCAGCTCCGGCAATTGTATCCCCGCCTGAAAGTGTTGGCCTTTGGCGCTAATCCTGAAACTTCCCTGCATACTTATTTCCCTTCCTTCCTCTCCAGGACCATGCCCAGCTGTCCCAGTGACATGAAGAAAGAGGTGAGGCTGGGAGGGGGACAGGATCAAAAGGAACAAACATAATTCTTAAGCAGTCAGATGGGCTACAACATTTAGCCAACACATAATCTGCATTAAAAAGTGGCACCCAATTAATTAGCGCACAATACCATGTTAACCTGAAACCCTTCAGTGTTAGGTCTCTTCATCCAAGAGGCAATCTGACAGAGTGAGCCTTATAATGAGGAAGTCTGCTGTTTCTGCAGAACCAATCCAATCAGAATATTCTCTAGGAAGTTCAGAATTGTTGACTTGATCATTTAGATCAGGGGTGTCCAACCTTGGCAACTTTAAGACTTGTGGACTTCAACTCCCAGAATTCCTCAGCCAGCTGGCTGAGGA